AGTTCTATCAATGGCAGTGATAGTACTTCGCTCCTCCAATACCTTCCATGCCCTGTCAGAGTTAAAGGAAGAAGGCTACTCATGCTCTTCATTGTGCGTTTCTAATCAGTGTGATTTCCAAAACTAAATATCATCTCTCAGAACTTCTGAGAGAAATGGATGAATCGACGACACCCTCACTCACATACACCAAGTCAACTCGAAAACTTCTACATCCATTTGAGTAGAATAAATCAACGAACTAAATCCTAAAGTAACTATATAATCCAGACCGTACCCATCCAGAAATTCCACAGCCCCTCCAAAGGAGGCTGCCTCCCATACGAGATATTAAAAAATAATGCAGAATACTAAATCCAGTTCCAGGTGAGCAGGTACGCATGGGGTACGAGTAAATATGTAAGTAAAAGGGGGGGCCGGCGACGTAATACCTCATGATCATGTCGAGGAGTCTAGCTCCGGGTAAACGAGTGTGTGCACTGCACTGAATCAATCATCATCGTAAATAGAGAACCGTAAAAAAGAGGAAAGAGGGAAAAGAAGGAAAGGAAGATGACTATGATACATATGCCGTGCGTATTTTGATGCATGATGCGAGAGCGAATGTGGTTGGTAGGTTCCTAGTTTGTGTTGCGTATGCAAGTGAGTGTAGTGCCGAATCGATCGACGTTGGTGATGCGCTTGTGTGGTTGTTGTGTGTGGTATGTATGCGTGTGTAGAGGGGGATCATTACTCATTAGAGCGATTCGGTGATAGCGACTGAGAAGTCGGAGAAGTAGACGTCCTGGTCCTTGGGGGTTGCGAACTCGGGCTTGGAGCCTATAGAGATAATGATAAGTATGAATAAAATCGAAGGAAAATCGAACGTACCTCCAAAGAAGGTCTGCATCTGCACGCCCCTCATCTTTCCGGCAGCACTGTCCCTCAAGATCAATCCGTTGACGCTGATCACGCTCTTTCCGTTAACGAAAAGCTCGAGCTCTCCATTTGCCTGGCCAACGTCGTTGAGCCTGACGCGCTCACTGACGGTGGTCCACTTGCCGGTCGCGAACTTGAAGGCACCGCGGCCGACAGACGCGCCGTAGGTAGGGTTGCAGTCAGACTCGGGCGCGACGTTGCACACCTTCTCGTTCGCCTTGAATTGCGAGTCGGTGTAGGGGGGCAGGTATGTGTAGAGTTCACCTGCACCTTGGGAGCGCCACATGAGACGGGCAGAAAAACAGGCTGAGGAGCGACGGCCGCCTGAGCATCCAACGGCCTCGGCGTCACTGTTACCGCCGTAGATACCGGGGAGCTTGCCACCGAGGTTGAAGGCGAAGCCGTCCTCGAAGAAGACGGAGTAGCCAAAGGTGGCCTCCTTTGCGGTACTGAGATCAACGCTGGACGGACCCGGGGCGTAGAAGGAGAAACCGCCCTGGGGGGAGTTGCCGAAGGTGTATGAGCCCTTGGGGTAGTGGGCCTTCATGGCAGCCTTACCATCAGGTGCCGATACGTAGGTGTGGGGCACGGAACGGAGGACGTTGGTAGGGCGGAAGGTCGCGTCGGAGAGGGCGAGGGCGGATTTGGAGGAGGTCGAAGTGGTCCATGATTTACTGAACTGGTTGACGGGGAAGAGGGCGCCAAGGAGGCCAGACAGGAGGTCACCAGAGGCTGGGGGGGCACTAGTGGACGCGGACTTTGAGGGAGAGGGGGCGGCGCTGGATGCGGACGCCGGGCGGGAAGATGGGACGTGAACGGATGAAGCAGGTGCAGAGGCGATTGGGGCAGCAGAGATAGCTGCCGAAGAAGGCTTGGGTGCGGCAGCTACCGAAGAGCTGGCGACAGGTACCTCAGTGACAACACCGGCGACGGCGCTGCTGGGTGTCGGCACGATGGACTGTGCAGCAGCAGACGCAATCGCGACAACAGTGGTGGCGGGTTGAGGCTTGGGCTTGCATGCACCTGCAGCTCTGCGGTGGTTGGGGCGCAGAGGGTGTGCGGCGACGACTGCAAAAAGCAGGGCGAGGACGAGGACGACAGAGGAGATTCTCAAGGAAGACATCATGGTGAAGTGGCTTGGAATGCTCGAAAAGACCGTGGAGTAATGAGAGGGAGATATATAGGAGAAATGCGATGAAAAAGAGAGGAAAGAGGGCGAGAAACGGAGAAACCACACAAGTCGCGGATGGAGGAAGGGAGAGGAAACAGAAACCGTTGACAGAATCGAAAGCTCGTCTTATGCGAAACCAGGGCGCACGCGGGAAATTTGATCCAACTGATTGATCCATGTTCAATTTTTATGCATCTCCAAATACTACGGGCCTTGGCGCTATCGGAGATCTCCCACACTCGTCCATTGTCCCCGTATTATTCTCTTTGTCCTCCTTTCTATTATGCTACGCTTCATCTTTAACCTCTATATGAATGGTCCATACAAGCTTAGTCCTCCCGGCATAACGTACACACCCCATCCTTCTGCCTTTCATGATCGACATCTGTCCATCGAGCGCCCACCCCGAAGCTGCTAAAGTCAATCAAAGGAAGACTACGTAGGACTTCTGGGGCACAATCAGTGGCATGCGTTGGCAATCATATTCATTCCCAACGTTTTATAACCATCATGATGGCCGAGTGAGGAGGACGGGAAGACAACAACAATCGAGGTCATGGACAACAATATTGACTCCACAGTATTTGGCTACCGACCATACGGCGAATTGCTTTGTATATGATGTTCGTATGTTGCGATCGTATGTTATGTCCTTTCACCAACCACGTTCCTCCTATGACCAACCTTCTGTTCTTCTTTGCTTGGTCGGAGCGTATCCTTCGTCCACGTAACACAAATAATTTCCCCCTCTTTCTCCTCCAATCCAGGTATTCAACGATGTACATCTACCCTCCTGTACGTACCTACGGGGGAAAAAATCGAGGTGCGTCCTCTCCTCACAATCTACAAACGCGTCAGTAAAAAATTACGCGAAATACGCGTCGCGATGCAACTGGACCTCCCTACCTTGCTTGGTTACCGATACGGTCGCGGCACAATTATCCCGAGTGCCAAGACCTCGAAGAGGGACCCCATGTGCGAATGTCGCCGCTGATGAACAAATGACAGTGTGTTTGAACATTGCAAGATGGTGAACTCAGTTAGATAGGCTATATCCTACTAATCGTATTCTTCCAACCATGTTCGACGCGTTGCAAGTATCATACGCGATCGAACGGAAGCAACTCTCGATCTCACCACCAATTCATCGGCGCTATGGAGATACATATGTCCGACTATGTCCACGTGCTAGGCCCGCCCCTATTCTTCCGTTCGATCGTACACCCCCGCGTTTGAATTTTAGTTTAATGCTGCCTTGCAGTTGCGTTTGAATGCCCGCCGCCGCAATTCCCTAATTATGGATCCTGCCACGTCCTACCACTCAATCAAACGTCGCTGTCAACAACGATGAAGTGGGGCTCGGCATAAAAACTAAAAATGATTCTCTTTTTGGTTCCGAACCCGAATTAGGCGTACAAGCTCGAATATCTTCCTCCGCAGGTCGTGCCGCACCACCCGCTCTGACTCCGCCTTTTCCACTCCCACCTCGGTAGAGGAGGCTGTGAGCGATTGGGATATACGATAAAGTGGTGGGTATGATGGATATAGAACGTGGTGCCGTGGTGAGGGGCAAGAGGGGTATACCATATGTAAGCCAATTAGAAATTAAAAATTTGACAAGAACCCCACATTCCACTTCCATCTGGTCCCATTCCACGATGACACAAACACTCCTCTGTATAGCTCTAGAATCAGTATGCGTAGCGCATACGTCCGTGGTGTAACATCTGAAAGCTCCATCAACTCCAACCATGGGTCTCTCGTCTGACTTTTGAGTTGCTACCCGACTCATCATCGACTGGCAAAAATATGAAATTGATGTCGCATCGAAATTCGAATGGCGGCATCCACTCCCAGCGCTACGAGACCCGAAAATGATACGTATCGTGCAAAGTGGAGCCAGTATTTCCGAGGACAAGTCTACTTTTTCCTCCTGACTCAGGTTGTACATATTAAGGGACCGTCGACAGCAAGTTCCGGGTACCTTGCCGTTGGCAGTGCACTACACAAAGCAGAAATTTGGGCTTGGAGGTTGGAGAGACCACACTTCTTCGGGGACGGAAGTCGGCACGCTGAGAAAGCTGGAACGGATACCGCACGTAGGATTGTCAAATTCGCGTGAAGACTTCTTCGAAATACGCACCAACTTGTGGACTATGGGTCTCTGCCAGTTAAGTGAAGCTACTCGGAAGCTCTTTCACGTGCATATGTAGCGGAACATGAGTAGCAAACAAACTTATCTATGTCCACCATCCACGAATCCGATTAGGGAAGCATGCTCACTCACTGCAGTGGGTTGTGTCGTTGGGCTGTTACTGGAATTCTGCGGGCGAAGGCGAGTTCTAATAGGACTACGTTCTCTTGGTATTTTATGAAGCCTGAAGATGGTGAAGAAGCATGACCTACTATGTATTGTTGGCAATACGTAGGAGACGGCAATGTATCCATCTAGCCGTCTAGAGGAATGGCCAACTACGCTAAAGCTGGTTATAGGATCGACTCAGATCGGTCAAGCTCGCATCGAACAATATACGAGTGGCTAACTCCTCGACAAGACGGCTGTCTCGATTATTTCTCATCGATACTCCTACTTGAGAGCGGTAAAATGGAAGCGTTGGAATGCGTACTCGCGAACAATCGAGTGTGTAATCCTGAAGGTTGAGTATCTAAAATTTCAAGGTGTTCATAGTGGGATTTTGATGTCCTAGTTTTCAACCAGCGATGTCTCACCATCATAAAATAATGTATTCCCCTAGAATCATATCTTTAACTCTTTAGATCCCCCAATGTATATGTGGGGAAATTAATATTCTGTTGACCGGCATCCTGATATACGTGGATGATGACAAGTAGGAGGCTTGTTTCTTGGTATTAAAATAGAACCTCAAAAAAAAAGAAAAAAAATTATAGTCTCTCTGTCTGGGAGTCGAACCCAGCTTTCGCGCGCACATCAGCTCCTATTCTTGACAGGCGCGTGTACTAACCGATATACTAACAGAGAGTAATGAATAAAAGTAATATTTCGTCAGACGAGCGATCTTGTAGTTTCATATCTAACATCACCAAATACACAGCAAAATGCCTCACATGCTACTTTTCAACTGTGACAAGTAACTGACAAGTTACAACCTGCAACGGCTTCATTCGAATCGTCCATCATGATGAATGTATAACTAGTACTTCGGCCTTTGCTTCTCTATCGAGAATATCTGCCCATCATTCTAGCGCTGTACCTTGCTTGGCTTGAACAATTAGTATGACTGTCAATCCAGAGCATGATCTTCCCACAGAAATCAATGTAAACTACACCTTGGCGAACCAGAAACACTTTGATCAATCAGCCCAGACTTACGATTCACCTCAGGCCATTGAATTAGCGCGAAGGTACGTTTTATTATAAATGATTCGATATTTATGTTGCGCCTCTATACCACTGTTTCATTGCACGTTTTATGTAAAACTGACTAGATTAATAGATCGGCGCGTGCGATGCGCAGGGTGTATGAATTTGATGAAAATACGACATGCGTCATGGATTTCGCGTGTGGAACTGGTGAATATACAGCTCTTGTCATGTCATGTTTTCATCATAGAATTTTAAAAATCACTTTCGTCGTTTGCAGGGCTAATATCCCACCAGTTAGCTCCATATGCTCAGACTATTGTGGGTGTGGATATCAGCCAGAGAATGGTTGATCGATACAACGAACAAGTCGGAAATCAAGGTATTTCACATGATGAAATGCAGGCCATCTGCGCGGATTTGCAAGGCGTTGAGGGTGAGTTGGATGGTATGAAATTTGACATTGTTGTAGTGGGTTCAACATTCAATTTCCCAGCTTTCTCATTAAATTAATATGTTAATTACTCGCAGTGCGCGTCATCATATCATCACTTCGACTCTATATCTTCTATAACACGCACGTTGGCGTATTTTCTGAAACCCGGGGGCACGCTGCTGGTAATCGACCTACTAAAAGCGGAACACCTGGATCTGGACGCGCTTTTCCCGGACCATCTGCATCATCTTGTTGCGCATAAAGGAGGATTCAGGGAAGAGGAATTACGAAAAGCTTTCGACGATGGGGGTCTCAAAGGATTCGAATTTTCCGATGCCGTGAATGTGAAGAAAAAGGGAGAGGATTTGAAGTTGTTTATTGCGAAGGGTTTGAGGCAATAAAAAACCGCATGTGATTCATAGCTTCATATAATATCGTCTAATGTTGTTGTGAAGTCATCCGAAGTCGAAGCCTACATACAAGCTAGAAAAACACTTTTGTGCAGATTTTTTACCTGTGTTGACATCTTCATTCGTCCACGTTATGCTCCCTGTAACAAGACTTACAGCCTCCGCTCCTTATGTTATATAAGATAACTGTGATGCGTTGTCGAGATGAATTCAGTGAAGTGTACTATGTAATCTCACAAACGCTAGACCATATTATTTTTTGACTTGAACCTCCATTGAAATTGTTTAGTACATTGACACAAAGGCTGGCCCAATATGGAATCACTCTTTTCTTGATTTTCCGAAAAGCTTTACGGTTTCTGCTGGCTTTAAGTTCCTGTCATCGTCGGTAGTGGGCATAGACTGCCAGTAGAATGGATTGGGTTGAGGAAGCATGTATGCCTCAGATTCGACAAAACTGGGAGCGCTGTGCGCCGAACTCGCTGATGGGCTTTGGAAACGAACTCGAAGTCGCGGTTCACGAGGGTCGTGTTTCATGTCTATTGGGGGCGTCCCGAAGCTGCCAGTAGAAAGAGTGCCCCCAGGAATATTGATAAGCGGGATTATTCCAGGAATTGGCGTAGTTGGAACTGGTGAAAATACTGGGATGATAGAAGATGCTGGTATGGGGGAAGGTGCTCTATGATCTTCAAGGGGATCATCTTCAACTCTTTGCGGAGGAATTTGGGGCAATGGCCGTATTTCTTGAGATGATATCGTCTGCAGCACGATCTGAGTCGTAGATGTAGATGGTGAATCTGAGTGGGTCTCCGTAGGTATAGGTTGGGAAGCAGATACAGATTGCTCATGAACATAGGAATAGTTCGCTCTGTAAGAGGGGCTTTGGAATGTAGATCCTCCAAATTCCGAATTGAAACCCGCAGGGAGATCAGGGTCACTGCTCTGGAGTGCATTTTTTGTATCGATGATTGAGACGGTGCTCCCCACAGCAGGATCTGAATACTGTGTCCGATATGAAGGAGGTGCCATTCTTCTTTTGCGAGGGTAAAAATATGAAGACGTGCTTCTGAGAGAAGAATGGCTCTGATCAGGATTAATAGAATCCGATGAATCCAGAGCCATTTGGGTATTTCGAGGTGGGGCCGTGTTTGGTATCTGATATGCACCTGAAGATGGCTGAATGTCAGGTAATAGAGGCTCAGATTGCACCTCGGGAAGGTAGTGGTAGCTTGTCTGTCGTTGGATTTCCGTTTGCGCTCCCATGCGAGTAATTCCCTGGACAGGAGGCTGCTGTTCAATGTGAGGCTTTTCGCATAGCCATCCATTTATTCTTGCCTTCCATGCTTTATCCATAGCATCCCCGTACCGTCTGAAAGTGCGAACTATCAGTATCCCGTAGACAATGCCAAGGACCAAGACAGCCGTGAGAACAGTACGAATGACAGTAGCTACTGCTGGGGCCAGAGGTAAAGGCGGTTGGTCATTACTCGAACCGGTTCGCCAAACAAACGTCATTATGCAGATAATATAGAGGAGAATAGACCTAGATCCAAGCATCGTTATTGAATGCAAACCTTATTCAGTTAACGTAGTCACCACGTTAACCATATCGCGGGCATCGCGAGAAGTACCCATACATTCCACCAGATCACGGTGTTTGTCCGTTTCGCTTCCTATCCATGAGAGGGGGAGAAAAGTCATAAATCTATACAGCGGTAACAGAGATATTACTGACCAGAGCCCATTCTGCAGCCTTGTACGTTTTCCGCATGCCGCCAAACCTGATTATATACATACACCCATATAAAAGGCTAATAAGGGCGCAAATCAGGGGGAAAAAAGCTGTATATCGAATGATAGGATCGGATGCAGCGGAATCAATCTGAAATATGGTCAAAATAGCTCTAAGAACCATGTCAAATATATAAATTGAAATAGTATTATCTGACGTACGACAACAGCAAGACGGATATAATGTTGAAAGTTTTATATTCTCGCATTACTGAATCAATGAAGGATTCCCAAGTATGTTTGAGGCTTTCATAAGCTGGGGGAATTTTATGTGGATCGACATTCATGTGGAGTATATTGAAATGAGTATTCTTTCCAGTCGATGCTGTCTCAAGGGCCATTCTCTTTATTTCGGGCAAACTCATGTCTGCTTCCTCAAAAATTCGTGCCACGCGCGAGAAATAAAGAGACGGCAACCGGAGAAGAAAGTAGAGGTAGATCTGGCCGGGCACTGTATCAATGACAAAGGCAATGATATAGGTCCATATATCGTCTTCCTGTGGATATCCTAGCAAGCCGTTGGTATTATTTTTGCGGTGATAACGCACTGCAGTCAGACTCGGTAGAAAACTGGTGAGTTGTGTAATTCGCCCTATGATACGTGGCTTTTTAGATCGAGATGGAACTGGGGTAACCAGCGACTCTGGGTCGGAGATACTTAGAACTTCATGATCGTGTTCATGTGACAATGCATTCGAAGCATCGTCTATTTCGGATGGTATAAGATTTTCTGGAAAGATAAAAGATCCTTCAGGAGAAGGAGGTCTTGAGAAGGACATATTAGACATATTTGGCACGGTTGCAAAAGAAGTGGTTCGGAATGATGGGGCGTTTGTAGTTGAAAGACGCCCGTGAACCCGACCTGTTGATCCAACGAGAGTATTGCGTACTATAGAAGAATATGATGCCTCAGCCGTAGGTATCTGACCTGATTGCAATCCCGATATGTTCCCCAACAATGACAAGTGATACGGTGCTGTGTATGTACCTAGTGTTGGCAAAGTCCGGTTCAGAACCGTGGTTCGAACTCGAACCTACCCGAACGGAACCGAGGGTTCCGTTCGGGGTTCGACTATTTGTATGAACTGAACTGATAAGTCCGGTTCACGGTTCAGGAGACAGTAGTATTCTGCTGAACGCAACTGAACGCGTTCGAACGCGTTCGAACCACAAGGATTTGGACATTGCTACATCCGAGCAAGTCACCAGATCTATCGCATAAATTAGAGTTTTAGACGCTGCCCCTGCCACCTGTTTCACACCCTCGCCTGCAGAATGTGATGCTCGTCGTCATTCTTTCATGTGGTAGACTCTTTTCTGAGCAGTTTCATGTATGTATGACACAAAATACATACAGTTATTCAATGGACTCTGGTCAGTATTCCCATTCCTTCAGATTTTTTTTTTGAATCCATTCTTCTTGGCCTGGAACTTGGCCTAGTGGTAGCTAGTGCATTCTCATCAACTTTCACTGTGGTGTAGGCTCTTGTACCAAGCCATTTCATATTTGGATGACACAACTGTTAAGGATCTCTACTGCTGCTACTGCTGGGAGCTAGCCTAATATGAGGCAGGGATGAGGTAGCTTGAAGAGGTAATAATAGCTAATTTTAAAATTGCATCATGAATAACAATAACTAACAGTCTGCTTAAGTTTGATAAATATTATATTTCTCTAGTCACCATCACTGACAATGCAACTGAAAATACAGGTTTGTTTCTTCATCTATTTTAAAGATATATTAACACAATACTAACATATTGTCATATATCTACTGCACATCAAGCTGTAAAGCACATTGATGCGCTGATTGCAGCACTGGATGGTCGAGACTTTGATCTTGATGAAGATTATTGATTTATTCTGTAGCCGTAGTTAGATGTATCGATTTCTTACACAAATAATTTTTTTATTTTAATTCTCGTTTGTATTTGACTTTTGGTTCGGTTCTTGGTTCGAACCGCTCATGAACCTGAACTGAACCGATTCTAGCCTGAACTCATGGTTCCGTTCGAGGTTC